TGCTTCGCCGTTTTCTGCGCACGCTATCCTGCAGTGAGCTGACACAGCACTTTTGAATGACAAAATTTGACAGACCATTATGGGTATGCTGGCTGTATTCATATAATAGCATATGGTTTCCATGGTTGGAGTCACTGGGTCAGCAAGGCGAGTCTTTTCTACGAAAAACAAAGAGAATGCCAGGTGCAGCGATTGGATTTTTGGCCAAAACATTCCATTACAACATAGACTACAGATGAGTACTACTAGTCATGCACCAGCACCTGTTTTTGTGTTCCCATGAGCACACCAAGACATTGCACCGTTTTGGAGCATGTGCAAGTGTGAGATGAGTTCAGATGGTTTTTTTTTGGCATCCAAAACCAGAACCCTCAGCCACAAAATACATTTCTCCTACAGAAGGCTCAAATTCCGGAAAATTGAACACCAAATGGTTTCAATTTTTCATAGGTTGGCATGACCCGGTCATGGATGCAACGACCATACTTGGGGGTACAGAAGCTCCTGAGCTCCACTTTTGCATGAGTTCCGCTGATAAATCCAGCATGCACAGATTTCACAGTTGGCCAACTTGTTTACCAAACGGCTTGAGGCCGATGCTTACGCTTTGCCAGGACTACGCTGTGAAGCTGCTAAAGCCAAAAGAGCAACGCTTCACATGCTAGGATGGTGTAGGCATCTGAGGGTGCACAAAATTTGTTTGGGACCTCGTTTCGTAATGAAATGCAATAAGGTTTTAGATGGAACTGGCCGGGTTTAGTTTCCTGGATTCTCCGGGCTCTGGCGCTTTGAGATTCCGGGAGCCCAAGGCCCTCAAGGCCTCAGCCCTTAACTTAACCCTTAACCGTAAAGACAACCACCCCCCCCCCCAAAAAAAGCATCATCTTGAACAAGCTTGCGATTATAGCGGGTGAACCCAACAAACTGAGTTCGGGGAATAATTTTTTGAGAGCTTGTGATTATAGGCCCTACCTTAACTAAAGCCAGTGCAACATTACTACCGACTACTTATTATGTGTAGCTTACTTGCTTCTCACTGCTTTCATACTGGAGATGAGGGCTTGGCAAGCAGATGCTTGATCAAGGACGGGCGAACCCATCACTTTCGACCGAAACCTCATCGTCGTCGAAGATGAGGTGAATGGCCAGGAGTCCGGCTTCTTTAGTTGCTTGGATTTTTGACTTTTGGTTCCTTGACTTGTGTTTTTCTCTTGGTCTTTGAGTTTCTTGATTTACAACACCTTCCCTTCCCTCAGCAGTTTGGCGGTCTTGAAGCATAGTAGACATTGGCACTTCGAAATTTGCTCATCAGAGAATTTCCTAGAAAACCTTTTCGGACATTCCTTTTGGATCCCTTTGTGCTTTTGAAGTATGTACTTTTGATCCGACTTGTTGTTTTAAATGCGGTTTGAAGTGCTTTGGCACGCGTGTCTACACAGGAAATTTGCCATGGGATTTTCAAAAACAGAGAGAAGCAATAATCAGACTTAATCAGACTCAATTTTTTCTCAGTCTTGCATTTGAACCTGGAACAACGTATTCAGGATACCGTGTATGTGGTGTGTCTGTGTTTTTGCGCGAGCGCATGGGCACACGCATACACATCTAAGTCTACATCATACATGTGTGAAGCCACGCAATGCGATGCAAAATACAATTCCTGGTTTATCACGAGACGCCTACAGACCCTCTACGAATGGTGCCAGGTGTCCCCATTGGTCCCCATCTCAGCATTTGGGTGCGTGAGGCAACGGCCCTCGTTGCAGCCCAGCAGCAAAGGCGTGCTGATGTGCCAATGGCGATGTGATTGAGAGTCGACTTTGGGTGGATACAAACACTTCGCCGTTTTTTCGCCGCATGCGTTTTTTTTCTCCCGACAAATCAGGTTGGACGCCCTGGTGGAGGAGAACCGCGTTTTGCGCGTGCAAAACGCGCAATTGCTGCGCGTGGTGGAATCCATTGAGGAGGTTTTGGCCTAAGATCCGAGACAGAAAAGTCTTGAGCTGTGACGGCCGGTTTGTTGAACTGACCCTTGTTGTGCAGCTCGCCAATGCGTCCTCGGTAGAGTGCTTTGCAAGTTAGGTCCCTGTTTGTCCAGTTTCTTGTGTTCAGCTCTTAATTTGTGCACTTCGTTGTGTTTCGGCTTTTAAGGTACCTCGAGCCGTTGGCGAAAAAGCCTGTCCGTCGCCTGCTTGTAACGGTTTTAAGGACAGGCGGGCATTGGTCGAGATGTTGGAGCACCAACGCTGATGGGCCGCTGACCATGCGCTCTTGACAAGGCACCTGCTTGTTTGACACAAGATGTTTGTCGAATGCATTGTTTGGGGAACTCTGTCGAAATTGAACCATCAAAATAGCTCTTGGCTGTACAGGCTGTTTGAGATGGCATTTCACCAGTGTGCAATAAGCGGGTTGATGCCGGGCAAGTTTGTGCCCTAGTGCTGCAACGGAGCCAGGCGGGAGATTCAGAGCAGACCTTCATGCCGACAAAGGAAGCCTTTTCATTGTGTTTCGCAGTGTAGGCGTATTCTTTGCGGTTCTGGCAGTTGCTTTGTGGGAGGTCATGCCCGCGGAGCCGACAGGCGAAGCTGGGGTCTTGAGGCCTGCGCCCGGCAGAAAGCTTTAAGCAGTGGAGAAAGAAGTAAGCACTGCCGTGTGGGAAATGCCGCGCTGCCACTCTTGCAGTCTCTCCACGGCTTCCCGCCAGCAGTTGCAGCGCAACATGAAACGCTTTCCTTGCTGGCAGCTGGGACGTCAAAGACGCCGTTGGAGCATGCCTGCCAGTGTGCTGCAAGTCGGTGCTCCTTACAGGCAGCTGCTTGCGTAACATGTTTAGTTGTCATCGTCAGAGGCTAGCGCCGTGGACGTGGCGGGACGCATCGCGGCAAAAGTGGGTTACCCACCAATGCCACTCATGGTGACAGCCTGTGGCTCTGTTTGGACCAACGCCAGGCGTTATTGGAACGGGTTCGCCAGAGCTTCAACCAGAGCTTGAAAGGCACGCAGCTCCCCAGCGACCCGCGGACTTTGACATTTGACGGCATGTTCAACCAGAGCTTGGAGGATGTCCAACTACTCAGCAGCTTGCGGACTCTGACCTTCGGCAACGACTTCAACCAGAGTTTGCAGGGAGTTCAGCTACCCGACAGCCTGCAGATTTTGACTCTCGGCTGCAAGTTCGACCAAGCCATGGAAAAGGTGGGACATAACCCCATTATGTACCCTGTAATCCCTATGCCCTATGCAACACCATGATAACCATATACTGTATTTTCCCTATATAGCACCATTACATACTCTGTAATCCCAATATAACCCCAGTATACCTTATAATCCCATTATATATAACACTAACAGGACTGAAGGGAAACGAGGGGACAAAGCGGCCAAATCGGCGACAGAATCCTTGGCGCGGGAGGTGGGGGTAGGGGCCTCATTGGGCCTGTATTAAATATACCGTACACAACCAGATTCCATGTTAAGTATACCACACACAGCCAAACACCCTATCCAGGAAGAATTAACACTAGCGGGCCTGAGAGGAGACGAAAAGGACGGAGCGGGACAGGTGCAGCCAAATCGGCGACGGCGTCCTTAGCGCGGGAGGTGGGGGGCAGGGGCCTCGTTGACCTTGTATTACATAAACCATACACAGCCACAAACCCTAGCAGGGGAAGCCTTATAACACTAACCAGGCCGGGAGGAAACGAAAAGGACGGGGCGGGACAGTGCGTCCTCGGCACGGGAGGTGGGGTGTAGGGGCCTCGTTGGGCTTGTATTAAATACACCGTACACAACCAAAATCCCATCCAGGAAGCCTTATAACACCGGCGGGGTTGCGAAGAGACGAAAAGGACGGGGTGGGACAGCGCGGCCAAATCGGCAAAAACACGACCGCCTCGTTAGGCTTGTATTAAATGCACCAAACACGTTAGCGAGCTGCTTCACTGACGCCGCCCCACAAGGGGTCGGCGGATAGTAGGGGAAGGTTGTGCGGATGATTTTGTTTGTAGATGGGGGGCTGCGTCCCCCCAACCACCCGTTTTTTCAAGGCCATCCATTTGACAAATGGGGCTGCGACGCCCCTCCAAAAATTCTTAAAATGTATTTTGCGCCCAACACCAAAAACCATCCACAAAGAAGACACCAGTGGTAACAAACAAAGTTCAGCTTCATAACTGCTAAGTTACCACAGGTCATGAAGGCCCGAATGCTTACACGCCATGCTGTTGTGCAACCTCTCAAGGAGAGGAAAGCACAAGGGGACGACATCGTCCGAGAGGCAATGTGAACCCTGGTTCGCGGGCTTCTCCCTAAGGGTTCGCCAACGGCCTTCTGGGCCTCCCTTGGTTCTGGGGCGTAGTCGTCAAAATCTGGGTCAGCAAGTCCTATCAGCCTTTTAGAGATACTGCTGGCAAAGTTTGGATAACCCTCGGATGCAAGCCGTTTGAGTCAGTCTGCGTGTACCCCCACTGGTGAATGAGGAAGCGAAGCGGTTTACTCTTGGCATCAAGGAGAAACTGCGGCTTATCACACTTGCAAAAAGCAAAGGTCACAGAACGAAGCCAGGACGGCCCTTGTAATCTCCAACAAGGCTCCCTCCAAACTAGACCTTGGGTCCAGATGGGACATCCCAAGCCTAGATTCCTTTTCCGAAGCTGGCCATTGCTGGCAGAGCACGCCAAAGCCGCAAAAACCTTCATGAACCAATTGTCAGTCTCTTGGTGCCTGGTCAAAAGCATGGAGTAAGCCTGGAGTGCACGTAGTACCCATGTAGCAGGAGGAAACGCTGGAAGCATCATCGAGCGGCAACATTTCACTAGAGCCTCGACTAGTTAACTATTTGGAATGATAATCATCAGGTTCGTAATCCCAAGCCGACTTTCCAGGATGTGGGGGATTTCCGAAACTTTTTGGGGAACTTGGTGGGACCTCTTCGATTCGACCCTTTGCCAAAGAGTTTCCGCCGGAGTGCCAGAGTGAGCATGGCATGTAAAACCATGGCTGACGCCCTCTTGCGCCAACCTTTTGTTTTGCTGCGGGGCGATTCCCCAGGTTTGTGGCTGCCGCTGCCTTCACGGCCCTCTACAGGTTTGCGGAAGCATCCATGGATATGCCGCTGGGCAGGAGCTCTCCAATCTTTTGCCATGCTTTTGCGAAGCTATGAGGCGGCTGCAGAGTGCAGCGGTGAACGTCACCTTCCACGTGCGGGTCCCTGTGGATGTGAAGCACAAAGCAGAGTTGTGAACATGGCTAGAAATAGAAAAAAGGGTTCTGTTCTGTTCGGTGCGGAGTTGTGTTGTTCCGAAGGCTGCCAGCCAGACCATGGTCATCGACAGCTCGACGGCGCAGGGGGCCGCAGAGGGAGCCTTTCCTTTTCAGCTGGTTTTTTGACGAAGAAGTGTGTTGGATGCTGGGAGCTGCTGTCGCTTGCATGGGCCAAGGCGGCTCCTGGAGCTTGTGCGTGCCCGGAATGGGAAGTCTTTGCTGAGCCTCTTCGCCTGCCGCACGGCCTCCCCCCTGGGCCGTGGCCGTGAATTGAGTCAAAATTACGTCTTTGAAGTGCTCGGAGGCCGGCGGCCAGCACCTGCTGCGGCAGCTTCTTAGCCTCAAAAAGCTTTTCAAAGCAAAGCAAAGAGTCTGTGAGAGCTGAAGCTCAGGTCGCTGCTGGCGCCTCCGGTCCAGTTGGAGGAGATTCAGGCTCACAAGATCTCACAACATGAAAGGGCGGGTCGAAGACATAGGGTACAAGTCCCCATCCCAGGCGAGGCAATGTGCAGTGGAGGAGTTGCTCCAGAACGAGCCGCTCTTCTTTCAGCTACAATCTCTGCTGCCTCAGCTGGTCCGCACCGCGATTGAAGGTGCTCTTGAGAATCGCGTGTTTGTTTTTGCAACTGCACAGGCAGACCTGGATGCTCTCTTGGGTCGCCTCACTTTGACGCCACGGGGCGATGGCACGGCCGACTGGTGCAAGGCCGGCACGTTGCTTCGCTGCTTCGAAAAGACTCGGGCACGGTTGTTGTTGCTGTTGTTTCATCTTGTGGTGGCGACACGATGAAAAGGCAAAAAATGCTTGGAGGTTCTTTTTGGCGGCGTTTTGCCTTGCCGAGGAATAAGATTGCCTGCGCATGCGCAATAGCGCACGTGTTGATGTGTGTTTTCTCCCTTTGGTGTGGCCGGAACCAGACTTGGCGCAGGTCATTGCTTGAGAAAGTGTGGCTCCCTTTGATTAGCAAGCCTTGGTTGCTGAAGTTGCAAGGAATGACATGTGCCGAGCATTGCAGAGCATGTCGAGTTGTTGTTGGGCTGAGCAACTCGTCAGATCGCTGTCCGAACAGCGCTTCGTTTGCGCAGTGCCCTGGCTGTCGGGGCCCCCGGCACGGTCACACACGTTAAGACATACACAAACAGCTCTTCTTTGAAGGCTGAGAGTCCAAAGAATCCAATGCGAGGCCTTGCCTTCTTTAGCCGATGCGTTGCCAGCGTCGGAGGTGGGAGACCCTGGGAGAGGACGAAGAAAAAAGTCTCTTCTCTGACTCAGGGTCTTTTGGCTGATGCACGCGGGCTGCTGAGTCAGAATCGGCCAGAGCCTCTCAGAGCCTCTCAGCCTCTGCGAACATGGCACTGCACAGCCTGAAGCTGAGGTTCCGAGAGCTCCACGAGGCAAATCCCAACTTCGGCCTGGCCGTACCGAGCGGAAACTTCGCGGCCTGTGAGTCTGTGAGGAGCTGGACCGCGTCTTGGAGGACTCCTCTTTTCGCCTTCGGGGCTCCATGGGGCACTTGGCCTTGATGTACGCCGTGAAAAAGAACGCCAGTGCTCTGTCCGCGCCCTTGTGGCATTGACCAAAACACGAATCCTGGTGTCACACCCTGCTTGCATCTTGCATTTCTTGTATCAGGCTGGACGTGGCCAGGCATTGGGAAGATCTGGAAAGTCTCAACTTCACGTGCTCGGGTCCTATAGAGGGTGCTTGTAAGTGCGTGTTGGTCAGGCAGACTTGGAGCGAGTCCATGGATGCGATCCACAACCTGCATCGCCGTCTTGCTGTGAAGTATCCTGAGCTGAATTTGCGCCTGGAGTACACCGAAAAGAGAGGCTCCGACGCTTGCAGAATCTCAGCTTTCAAAGCTCGGAGCTGTTTGTGAGAGGCTGGTATCTCTCGCATGCAAGAAGCAGCACGGTGCCGTGCGAGTTCTTCCACACCAGCGCGAAGGGCAGCTCTGGACGACTGGCGTCAACAACCCGGGAGCTCAACTCCGTCGGGGCCCAGAGAAAAGCCAAAAGATCGGAGTCCAAAACAGATCCCATCATACGCCACATTTGTCAAAGGAGAACTTCAAGCTGCGGCAGGCAGAGGCCTGGTCACTGTAGAGAAGGCTGGGGAGGCTTTTTTCGGGGCCCGGCCCCGGCTCCGACCCGACTCCGAGGGCTCAGATCGGTTCGTAATATTGGTTCCATTGATCGTTTTTCCACCCTCTCGGAATTCAGGACCAAGCAAGCCCTCTTCATGCTCAAATGTCTTGAAAGGCATGCTTGAAGAACAGGACAATTACAGGAACATAGCAAAGGGCCTTACCTGAACTTTTCCGCGAGATTGCGTGCAACAAGCCGTGTAGCACTACTGGCTCGCTAGCCGCTAGCGTGCCAGAAGTAAAGGCAAAGCAAAAAGCAAAGATGCTGCCAGGCTAGCAACAGGTGCCTGTGTGTTTTAACTTGATCTGGAAATTGCTTCATTGCTCAGACGAGAGCTGATGCCGGCTGTGCTCAGGCCGAGATTCTGCGCTTGCCTCGGTTGCCTCGGGGGGGGGAAAGTTGTGAAGAGACGAGAGATGATGAGAGATGATGAGATGTCCGAGGAAGAGGAGCGTAGAAGTCCTGGCCACCCTCCTGCACGAGCTGCGCAGCGAGGCCCAGAGCGGAGCAGCGGAGCAGCGGAGCAGAAAAGAGCGAAGAAGCGAAGCAAAGCAGCAAAAGCAGCGAAGCAAAAAACGTTTAAAAGCATGAAAAGACAGGTGGGATTCCAACCTTGTTGAATCCTCGGAAGGCAGCCTTACTGCACCGTGCCTCCCAGGCCACGGCCGTCCTGGAGCCGGGTTGAATACTCTTTGAGGTTTTCAGATGTTTTCAGGTCTTTTGAGGTTTTGAGCTTAGGTGCAGTGAGGCTTTCTTCCCAGGACCTGGTGGCCGCCTTCGCCGGCTACGCGCTCGAGGCCAACTGCGTGAGGCCGGGATTCCAGCCGAAGTGACAGAGGTGAAAGAAAGAACGAAAACAAAAATAGAAAGAAAGACGAAGAAGATAAATAGATAGAAATGAAAGGAACGTTGAAAGCGAGTTGTGCAAATGTTCGCCTTGAAAGTCGTTGGAGGTGTTTGTCTGTTTAAAGGCCTGAGATGCAGGAGTCCCAGGATGCCCCACTGGCTATCCAGGCACAGGGAAGCGTGGGGTGGATACAAAATCTCCGTAGGTTCTGCCTGTAGAAGCCATGCGCAGGCTGGACGGCATCCGCTGCTGGACACGTCGAAACATGTCAGAACCCAAACCCGTTGTACAGCGTTGCATTTTCGTTTGGAACCTGCAGGACCGGCTGGGGGACTTTGAGCCGGTGGATTTCTTCGTAGATGGCAAATGCCACTTCCAACTCATCACAGGCCAAGGGATGAGCAGAGAACGTCTGTTCTCCATTTTTTGTCTTCAGCACTCAGGGCACAACGGAGGAGGGAAAACTACGCCAGGTGCTGAGCTCGAACCAGAAATCCTACGGCTACCATTTAGCGGCGTAGTGTTCTAAAGAAGTAGCTTCTTATCTTCTGCGCAGCTCTTGGCTTCAGACGCCGAGGTATCTGGCAACAATGGTCCCACGCACAGCAAAAAGCTAGCAAAGAGCAAAAGAGCAAGATGAGCAAGAGTGTCAATAGCAAGGCCTTTTGAGTCTCTGGCGACATCTGGCGACTCAGCTGAGGCACAGCTGGTGATCCTGGCCCACGTGGGCTGCTTCGTCCCTGCAAACTATGCCGCCTTCCGGCTAGTGCCATCGCTGTTCACAAGGACTGTGAAGTAAATGAAGCGATTTTGTCTGGATATTCTGGATCTTGTTGCACCTTCGAGGATGGGAACGAGTGATTCCATTGAGGCAAGTGCATCCTCTTTCCTCGTAGAGATGCAAGAGGCCCATCTTGACAGAGTTTCGCATCACTTCACAATGCTTCGACTGCAGCTTCTTTTGGAGGCTTCTTACATCCTGAAGAGCTTGACCTCCCAGAGCTTGGTACTTGTTGACGAGCTTGGCCGGGGCACATCCCATGTTCCTTGGCATTTCCTTTGCGGTGTCTGCACATGCATCCTTAGGTGCCCACACTGAGGCTGATGGACTCGCAATCTGCTGCGCTGTGTGCGAGAGGTTGATGCACCTCCGAGTCTACACACTCTTCGCTACACACTTCTTTGAAATTTGCGGAGTCCTGGCCGCCCGTGCTGGCTTCCGGAGCATGCACTTGGAGATACTGGAGGAACCTCACCAAGAGGGAGCACGCCGGCGCTTCTGCGTTCAACGTGTGGAGTCCCTGCAGGTGCCGGGAGAAAGGGCAAATGCATGAAACTTGTTTGCTCTTGCAGAGAGGCACTGGCAGAGAAGGCCGCTGAGCACTATGGCCTGAAGGCTGCGGCTCAGCTCCTGCCCGAGGACGGCTTTATAAAAATGTAAGTGAGAAGAAAGGAGAAGAAAGGAGCTTGAAAAAAGATTAAGTAACTGAGACTTTGCTTTGCAGGCCCTCTTGGAACGTTCCAAGACGATGGCCACACAGGCCCCAGCGGAAAAGTCGAAAAGAAGAAGTGAGAGATTCAACGGAAAGACTTGAGGTGCATGCCTGCCTCGGACGCCTGGGCAGGGTCTTCAGAAAGCAGATTCAGCTCTTTGCACGTCACTTGTAAGTTTACAATTTCCTAAGGTCGGGGGGCTGAGGACAGACCTCGGGAACCAGGACTGCGAAATTCGTCACCTCAGGCTCTGTTTGTGGAAGGAGAGGAGCTCAAGGACTCGGAGAAATTTGACTGGAAGAATGCATACTTTGCAGCAGCTCCGGCTACTGGCAAGCTCCTCCTTGTCGCCTGAAGCCCGGGAGATCCCGGGAGCCAAGTGTTGGGCTGAAGAGATGAGAGAACTTAAGGCCCGAAGCACGCCGGGAGGTGCTGAGGTGGCTGTCGTGGCATTTTAAGGCAGGTGTTAGTGTGACAGATGGAACAAGTCCTCGAGGCAGCTCCAAACCGCTGTGTGCTGAATTCGTAATTCATGAGTGAGAAGAATTCGCTGGAAATGGGAGATGCCTCTCGAGGGAAAATGAACATGCTCCTGGGGACTTGCAGCACTTGTAGAACAGCAACACAACTTCAGAGGATTGTAGGGAGGCCAACCGATGAATTTTTGGCTCAGTCTGGCCATGGCGAACTTGCCTGCTCCAGGCCAGGCTTCAGAAGCTTTAACGGGGTTTTGCTGTGAGATGTTTTGCCACTCGAAGGTGCCTTCTCTGAGGCGGTGGCACGGCGGTTTTGATTCAGGTCTTGAAGAGGAAACTTCCAGTATTGACATCTCACTGCTAGGCCACAAGTCACCGGCGACTTGGACAGGCTGAAGGTGGCTTGGAGCGGGGTACGATGTGGGCTTCCAGGCGTGATGTGCGTGATGTGTTTGTGGTTGTGTTGCTTCCGCAGACGTTCGATTCGGGTATTGAGGGCCACGAAAAGAAGAGCCTCCGCTGGCCGAGCTGGTGGTGCCGTGGGCGCCGTGGGTGCGAGTGCCAGTGCCTTGCTGGCCGCCCGTCTCGCGGCCACTTCAGCCTGGGTCCAAAAAAGCGGAGAAATGTGAAATGAAGTGTATGATTACTTTAGAGTTGGTGTTCTTCTTCTTTTCAAGTTCTTTCTCTCAGCCTCAGGCGAAGAGGACGGTGCGGAGGGGTCTCTCCACACGTTGCAAGGAGGCCCCTACCGAGCTCACAGGTTGCCAATAAGCATACCTCAAACTTGCCTCAGCTTTTCTGTCAAGGCCGTTGTGACTCTGGTGGATGGACGCTTGGCCCCGACATCACGCCAAAGCTTCGAATCTCTGAGTCAACAAAACAGAAGGGAAGCACGATGAACCCAGGACACTACCATCTCTACAAGGCCTGGCTGTGCACTTTGCTGCTGCAAGTCTGCAATTGCTCACTCGTTTGTTTACGGCATTTGGTCCGGTGCTCCTTGCATTCCAGAGCTTCCACGCGACGGCCCATGCCAATCTTCGCAACCAACGGGGTGGGTCCTCTCAGCACGGTATGAATTTAGAGTTGAGTCTTCGCTGAGTTTTAATTTAGGTGAACCGACCAATGTCGTCTGCACGTTCATGCAGCAGCTCGAGAGGCAGGGGAAAAGGGGGAGAGGGGGAGTGACGAGAGGGGGGCGGAGGATTCCGTGCGAGGATCCATCGGGAGCTGGAGCCCTCCCACATGGCCGTGCTTCTCGACAGCCCAACCTCGGCGTCTTCGCGGCGGCAAGTCTGGCCCGGGTCCGCCGCCCCACAGAGTTTCCCGCATGCCCCACGGAGTTTCCACACACACTCCACTGCACTACAGTCGCTTGCCATACTTCTTGTGCTCAGGTACAAAAAGCATCGACACTGTGGCTCGGCAACAGCTCTAAGAGGTTCAGCTGGAAGAGATGTTCGGTTTCTCAGGTCCTCCGGATCTGCTTGCGCAAGTCCCGAAGGTCAAGCAGGTGCAGTGACTCAGTGGGTTGCGTCATCTTGCGTCTCAAGCCTTTGACTCGAAGAATCTTCAGGCCTGCGAGGCGATGGGCCTTCAGTGTCGCGAGGATCCCGACTTCGAAGCAGACGACCTCATCGCCTCCTACACGCCAGGTACCCAAACAAAAAAAGCAACAAGAAGCTATCGGCAAACAGCTATGGGATCTATAGCTCGCCCAGTCGGGCCCAGCTCGAGACTCGAGTGATTCGAGTGATTCGAGTGACGCGAGGCGTGGCTTCGATACGGGAGAGAAAGACGTCTTCGTGAAGATCATCAGCAGCGACAAGGACCTCCTGGAGCTGGTCAACGGTCAGGCTTGCTGGCGCAGGAAAAGTAACAGCAGTTCAGGAGTGGCGGTTTGTTGTGCGAATTCGGCTTAAGGTGGAGCTGCTGGACAGCCGGGATCACCAGTCCCCGTTCCTCCGAATGGATGTTGCCGAGGCAACGCCCGGAGAACCATGATTTGGAATCACATTCGAATCACTTTCATCACTTTGGGCATGCTTACTTTCTCTTTGAAAGGTCTGGAACAAATGGGGGGTCCGTCCACATCAGATGCCCGATCTGCTTGCACTTAGTGCCCTGGCTGCACACTGGCGACTTGCTTTTAACCTCTCAGTGATACTTGTTTCTTCTTGTTGTATGCATCTTTCTCTTTCTTTCGCAGTGGGTGACTCTGCGGACAACATCCCGGGTGCAGGGCTCTCGGTGACACGACTGGGAGAGTCCCTCTGCGAGATGATAAATGACGACTGCTTGGCTGCTTGTGCTTGCAGGTGCCGGGGATTGGAGCGAAACGAGCCGGCGCACTGCTAGGGCACGCCGCCCACCGTGTCACTTCACCCTACCAAAAGCCCGAAGCTTTGAAGCGACGATCTTTGCAGGCACTGCGGCACCCTGAAGGCCATCGTTCAGCAAGCGCAGGACGTTGGCAAATGACTCATGCCGGATCAAACCAAATGCTGGAACAGACACAGAAGGCTCCCGCCCATCACGCAAACAAGAACAACCTTAAAGAAGTGGGAAGACAGGCATGGCCCTGGAGAGATGTTGTTTAAATCCACCCATGGCATCATGCAATACAGGATAAAGTGAAAAGGAAGGTAGCTGGAGAGGTTCTCTTGAAATCAAAGGCACTTTGGAAGCCTCCGCCCCACTCCTCTCAGGCCTGGAATCCTTTCATCATGGCAGGATTTCAGAGACTTCCCCATTGTGCAATGACTTGGCAAGCCACAACGCTGGAGAGCGGTTATCACAATCCGTCCCTGCCATCATGCAATAACATTGAAAGGCATAAAGCTGGAGATTGTTATGCCTCCGTCACTTCAGAGAGTTTAAAGTCCCCGCCCTCCCCCAGATTTTTGGACGTGCAGGAAGAAGTGGTTTAATTAGCCAGGAGGAAAAGCTCCAAGTGCCTGGCATCAACCCTCGGTTTGCGGCTCAGAAGTGTCAGGCCTTTCCAGCACTGATATTTCTTTGCTGTGCTGTGGCTGTCCCATGGCTTGTGGGTGATTCCTGGGTGATGTATTTAAAACATGCAAAAGAGCCTTGGAGATCTGTGACGTGCTGCAGCCGGCCCCTGTAAAACGCGAAACGTCTCAGAGGGCGGTCACTCAGCCCTCCTAGCTTTTCGGCATCACCACCAGAAATGGCAGTGGATCAACAACACTGGGTTTGTCTGGGGCTTGCGAGGAGCAACTTTGCGACCAGCTTTTTTGGGAAAGGGAATGCCCGTACCGAGCACTTGCGAAAAAAGATCGTAACAAAAGCCCGACAAACGGGTATGTAACAAGTGGTGGCGGGGGGAGCACGACCAAACAAAAATCGATTCACAGCCGCATGTAGCATATTGCAACAACCTCCAACAATGATGTTCTTTGGGGACGAGAGGGAGGAGAGGTTCTGAGAGGTGTTCTTCGTTAGAAAAGGGTCCGAGATGCCAGTATATGTTTTCTGCGATAGAAGCAATTACGCGCAAGGCCTTTCACTTTGTCTCGTGTATGCTGCAGCAGCAGCAGCACCCCACCTCACCGTTGCTTGTTGAGATGTCTAAGCCAGCTCCTGGCAGCTCTAGCCGAACCCTGCTGGTATTCCAGACTATGATGTGCATGAGACTTCTAAATTTGACCATTCATGACGGGATAGCGCTTTGACTGCCACGTTTGTGTTGGCCGAGGCTTTGCGAGAGCTTACGAAAGTGGGCGCTTCAAGCGCTTCTTCCGTTTTGCTTTTTCCGCTCTGCTTTCTCAGAGCGCCTGAGGCATGGCCCCTTCGCGCTGGAGCTGTTGGAGCAGGTCGTGCGGCTCAAGGATGCCAATGTCCAGGCTGAGTCCAAAAGGAGAGGAGCGAAGATGTGAATTTCGTTTCTTGGCTAGGCAAAGCTTTGCGACTTCCAGGTGCCCCTCAGGGCCTGCAGCCTAGGAAGTGAAAGGCTTCGTTTCATCTTCATCAGAGAGAGAGAGACGTCTTGAGGACGAGGCCTGGCGTGGCACGGGGCCCCAGAAGGCTTCCGAAAGGTGTGAGACGACTTTTTAAAAGCTCAGCTGTGCTTCGCCCTTTGCCCTTCATGCTGCACATGCACAGCACATGCACAGCACATGCTGCATGCCAAGACCGCGTGGGACGCTTCTGCGACTCCGAGGCCCCAGAAGCCGGGGCTTTTTGGGGGGACGTTTTATGGTAAAACCCTGAAGTGTCGTTCGCAAGTCTTTTGGCTTCTAGCGGGCAGCGAAGTGAAATACATTGACATGTCAAGGACATGACAAGGCTGAAGGAGCGCTTCAGCAAGGAGGCTTCGGGCTCAGTCGGGCTCCAGTTCCATGAAATGGCTTAAGCGATCAACCTTTTACTGTCCCCTCAAGGCTCGGAAGGCCACTGCTTCAACTCCTCTCAGCGATCCGCCAGCGCGGCAGGTGCCAGTCGTGCCAGTGTCAGCCGCGTGTCTCCTCTTCTCCGAGACTTTTTCGAAAGTGGAGGAGACCGGCGGCGTTCTGAAGGTCACAACCGCAAAAGAGACCGATGAGGCCGGTAAGAGTTCACGTGTGGGATCGTTTCGCTGAGTCCTGCAAGTCGGCAGGTTGTGAGAAGCCTGAGAACTTCAAAAGCGCCGCTGGCTGTGTTCTCGGAGGCCTGCATGTATATTCAAAGTTCAGCTTGCTTGCTCGGCTTGCTTGCTGGAACCATTTTTCTGATTTCTCAGGTCAGCGAAGACACTCTGAGGCTGGCACCCAGTCGTTGTTCCCCAACCGAGCATGCTGCATCCATGCTGCATATCTGCGCATGCTGACCCCTTCCTGCATTCTTGGAGGCTGATCTGTCTGTCGATCTACGTCGTTGGGAACTTGGGCAAACTTCGAAGCCTTGCCTCAAGGATATAGACATGCGTGTTAGCCCACCTAGTCCACATTGCCAAGATGTTGGCGGTGCTTGGGGTGACAAGTTGTGTGCTCTGAAGACCGCCAAGCACAGGCAGCACAAGAGCTTGAGCTCGCCAAGAAAACTCGAATCTGGACGAGCTGAAGTAGTCTAATGCCGTCGATCGTCGTGACTCTCAGCCGACTACATTCGAAAGCCCTCAAAGCCGACCAATGCGGTAGCGGTTGCCACTCTTCAAGCCATGTGCAGATGTGACAAAGGGGCCGAAAAGAAGTTGCTTGTTCTAGAACCGACCTCGAAGGCCTATCTCATCCAGTCCCCCCATATATATATATATATATTATAAGGGGCTGCGCCCAGGAGCGGACAACGCAGGCAAGGGAAGCCCTCCGCCCAGGGTTAACGGAGCTATCATTGTTACTGTTATTACGATTATTACCATTATTACTATTATTTGATGGCCGCCGCCAAGGGAAGCGGGGGGGGCGCGCGCGCCCCCTCCCCCGGTTCCAGGTCAGGCCCATCTCCCGCGGTGGCAATTGTCCGTGTATCCACGGTGCGTGCGGGGCCCAGTCGTAAATGGCGCTTTAAGTAAAGCGCCGGCGTTCTAAGCAAAGCGCCTAGGATCACTAGTGCCTTTGCGACCATGGACGCCTTATGAGGGTTCGGAGGCGAGTTTGGCTCATCCTTCTATTGCTACAAGATTCTCTGCATCTAAATGTATAAACGTGCATAAAGGCTAAGCATCTTGTTTTTCATGGGCCATCCGCTGCACACCAAGATTTCGACAAGGGGGCTGTCCTTAAATCATTTCTTAATATCCTCATATCTCAATCTTTTTGGGGAGGGTGCCACTCCCAAATGATCAGTAATCAGGGGTGGCTGGGACTCGCCACCGCGCCCATACCATCAACTCAATTCAGGAACTACACTCATTTTCATTTTTCTAGGTTCATTTTTAAGTAGTATTCATGTACAATGTTTATCATCTTCCTCATTCTCATCATGATTTCATGAAAACAGCCTTATTCATTTTTCACTCTTACAAAATCACCGTCTTCATTTTCAACTCTCAAAACTTTTCCAAAATCTCCAAAATCTCAAATTTCAATTTTGGACGGCGTTTTTGGTGGTTCTTGACATCTCATTCTCAATTTTCTTATTCATTTAAGTAGACAAACATTTCAGTTGATATTTATCCCCTCATTCTAAAAACCGAGGGGGGTTCTGGGGTGTCTTAATCTGTTACATTAGTATATAGATTTCTGGGGTGTTTTGGGTTGTAATGGTTATCACAATTTGCAATACGTCTTGTTGTACATCTTGTCGTGCGGTTTTCGTGCTTTAAGTTATATTCATTTGATCATTGTTGTTAGTATGAAAGGCGAGCAATGGTTTTTGATGTTTGTTTGGTTCAATATGTCGCTTCATTCTATATTCTTGAACTGGACGTTTACAATAGAAGCAATCCATATACATACCTTTAATGTGCGCTTCAATTTCTCNNTCCAGTTTTCTAATAACACAACATTCATTACATGTTGTAATGCTTGCCATGTTGATTTGACGTAGTTCTGACCAGATTTTTCTTCGGAGTATGTTTAATCATTGGAATCATCACGCAAATGATCATGTACCATCAAATCATTCCCA